TGGATTGCCTGAGCTCGTGGGTTCGAGACCCACCTGGGCAACTTGGCGAGAGCTCATCTCTACAATAAATCAAAAAAATTAGCCGGGTGTGGTAGCGCGTGCCTGTAGTTCCAGCTACGTGGAAGACTGAGGCGGAAGGATCGCCAGAGCCCAGCAGGTCGAGGCTGCGGTGACCAGGAGCGGCCACTCCAGTCTGGGTGACAGAGTGATACTCCAACTCAAAAAAAGAGAAAGAAAGAAAGAAAAATCTGAAATATTACCACTTCTCTTCCTACAGAATAATTAGAAATTTTGTTGTTGTCTGATTCGAGGTCTCACTGTCACCTAGACTGGAGTACAATGGCACAGCTCCTGGGCTGAAGGGATCACCACAGTCTCAAACTCCTGGGCTGAAGGGATCTACCGTCCTCAGTAGTTGGGACTACAAGGGGATGTACCCACCACACCCAGCTAATTTTTTAATTTTCTGTAGATACAGGGTCTCACTGTGTTGCCTAGGCTAGTCTCTGACTCCTGGGCTCAAGTGATCCTCCTTCCTCAACCTCCCAAAGTGCTAGGATTACAGGCATGCCACCACGCCTGGCTAGCTTTTAGTGCTCTCTGAGTTTTGCAATTTTTATTTCAAAATGAAAGTCAACAAAGGGTGCTTCAAGTATAAGCGTTATTTATCTAAAAACATAGTCTGAAAAAGTAATAGCAGAATATATGTGGATGGTAGGCACAGGGGTGTTATTCTCTTTTTTTCTTTGTTTGAAATTTTTCAAAATAACTTTAGTGAAAAAAAAAACTAGAGGTATAAGTTAACCTCAGGCCCTGAGTCCCAGCTTCACAAGGAAGTATTTCATTCCCAAAGCCTCCTCTCAGCTAACTGGAAGAGGAACATTGCCTTCTCCCAGCACTGGCTGTCTGGATGCACCAGGCCTGTGAGCACCTCTCCACCCTCGGCCCTGTGGAATGTTTGGTGAACTGTGCCACCGCTTAGGTTGTCCCTAATGTTGCCCATTCCACTGTGGAGCATTAGATGTCTGTCCCTACATGGTGCCGCCGACCTGTGAAGGTGAGCTCTCAAGTCCTGCCTGAGAGGTTTTGCCACAGCGCTGTTTGCAGACAGACCTGCACTGAGATGCCAAGGGCAGGACCCTGGCTTTTTCCTTGGACAAGTTCCTCTGGTTCAGCAGCTCTCGTCCTCAAACGTACCGCCAGGCTCCCCAGGGCCCTCTGCTGTGGGTGCTGTTGGCTCTTTCATGCGTCTCTTGAGCTGTGTCATTTCATTGTGGAGTAGCATTTCTGGAGTGTTCCAACCGTGGGGAGGATGTTGCTGCTTCTCCCCTCTCCTCCTTTAGAAATCCAGCTTGAGAAATCATAACGATGATGGTTAATAATAATAATTCCCATTCTCCCTCCCTCCCAGCTTCCATCATCTTTCCCCTGAATGGTTGCAGTAGCTCCTGAGAGGTCCCCCTGTATCCCTTCTCAGCATAGCAGCTGGGGGACCCCGTTACAATGGAAAGCATATCATGTCACTCCCTGTCACAAGCCCTCCAAGCCTTCCATCCTTTTCTAGAGAAAAAGACACACCCCTTATAAAAGACTACATGACTTGGGCCCAGGCTCCTCCCACACACTCCCTCTTCCATCAGTTCTACTTCCTCTCCCCTGGCTGACTCTACTCAGCCACAATCTCATTCTGCTGGCCAGGCTTACCGACGTAGAGCCTTTGTGTTACAGTGTCTTCTGCCTGGATCCCTCTTCCTCCAAATATCCACATAGTTCCCTTCCTTGTCTCCCTTGAGTTCACCCTCATGTCACTGTATGATTCAGGCCTTCCCTGCAGCTCATTTTCAGATACCCCATCCCTCCCCTCCCCACTCTGCCCTCCCCACACTCCTCCCATTTGTTTTTCTTTGCACTTCTAGACATCGGATATACTGTGGCTTTCACTTGCTTGTCTCCCCTATTAGAATATGAGCTCCCTGAGGACAGGGATTGTTCCAGGGCTCCTTTGTAGGCACTCAAAATTTCCTGAATAAATGAATGATAGCTGTGTTTATTGAGTGCTGGGCACTGTTCTGAATACTTTACATTTCACCTTATTTAATCCCTACCCCAAACTTTAGGAAGCATGTACTGTTATAACCCTCATTTTACAGATGAGAAAACAGAGACTATACAGAGTATGTAGGAGGCTCGGGCCACAAGCAGAGGTGGCACTTGGTATGAGTCAGAACCCTGCAGAGAAACACAACCAACAGGAGAACGATCTATATGGAAAGATCCAGAAGCAGAAAGAGACCTCTAGCTCTGTCTCCATATATATAGACATCTATATCTATACACACACACACACATTTATTTTAAGGAATTGGTTCACATAGTTAAGAGGCTCGAGTCCAGAGGCATAATTTTCTTCCATCTTAGGGGATCTCAGTCTTTCTCTTAAGCCTTTCAACAGATTAGATGAGGTCCCCCCACATTATGGGGACTAATCTCCTTACAGTCTCTTGATTTAAATGTTAATCACTTGAAAAAAAAATACCTTTATAGCAACATCTAAACTGGTGTGGACAAGCAACTGGGCGCAGTGCCTAGCCCAGCTGACATGCGACACTGGTTGTCACAGCCTCTGAGGTGATGTCGTTTGATGGTCAGACTGATCTGCTCGCTTTATCTCTGAGTGACTTCCCACCCATCCTGATGGGACAAAGAGAATGAGTGTCAGTGGTGCTCAGACGTTTTCTGTCCTAGAAGGGCTTTTCTGACTTGAATACCACCCCACACTATAGGGTGGTCCCCTTCTCTTGTGAATGGCCAGCTGAGCAGTAGAGCTCCAGCTGCCATCTCTCCTCACCCATTCTCACCCCAAAGCCTTGTTGTCTTCATAATACGTCTAGTACAAGAGTGAAGTTGCCTCACTCACACTCAGGCTGTGGGGAGGGGACTGCTTCTGCTGAGTCAGGGCCCTGGGCCCGTGACCCCATTCCAGTGCCCAGTGAGGAAGGCAGGTCTGAGTTGTGGAGCCAGCAGCTTCTGGAGACCACCCCTTGCTCCTGCCCTGCTTTCAACTACAGGAAGCTTAGGGCAAAGGTGAGGCTGTGGAATGAGAAGGCTGCAGCCCAAGACTGGTTGCACCACTTTCCAGCAGCATGCCTCAGAAATCCCTGATGACACTCCCTGATGACACTGAGCTTTACTTTCCAAATCTGTGATGACTGAGCTGACAATGCCAGCTGGTGTGTTTGGATGAGAGAGAGAGTTCAGTGGTCCCCTGTGTGTTCTTCTGCCATCTTTCCAAACTAGTTCTGTGAGGAGTTTTCCATGCATGGGGGGAGGAGCCTAAGGCAGGTACGGAGGAGCTGTGGTGGGTCACACCAACCACAGAGTCCTCATGGACTGCCTAGGTGGAATAGGCCTTGTTCTGAGCCCCTGGAGACAGCCCCTGGGGCAGCTGCTGGAAATAACCAGAACCTCCTTGAGAGTCCTGGCCTCAGTTTCCCAGTGGTGCTCACCTTTCATGGTGATATGTTCTGCTAGAAAACTTCCAGGGCCACCTCAGGCCTGGGGTGGGTCTGGCTGAGAGTTCTTCAGATCTGGCAGCCCCTACCTGGTCACCACTCAGCCTGGGCTGCTAAGGGCCTCTTGACCAGCGTGAGTTTCTGTAATGGACACTAACAGTGTGCTGTGTGGGCCTGGAGGCACCGTTTTCAAAATGGCTATTGCCATATTACTCACCCCTGTGTTTTTTCATGCTATAAGATGCAAGCAGCACAAGTAATCAGAGCAAAATAGCACTTGTCAGTACCACTCCTTCCAGTCCCTGTCCCCAGGGGAGCTGTCACAGTGCACACGTGTGAGTATATGTGTGCATGCACATATCTGTAGATTATGCCACAAGTGTTTTATACTTCAGCTTCTTTGTTCCCTTGACATATCCTTTTTTTTAAAGTTCTGGCCACATGTACATCTATTACACACGTATTAACTTTCTTTCCTGTTTCCTCACTTAGAATAGCTCTACTGTATATACAGTCTTTGTCTTGGTGATAAAAAAATACATTATCATAATTATCACCATAATATACACATAATTTCCCTCCTTTTTATGTGTATGATAATTCACCAAACCATATTTTAGGTTACATTTCTTGAAACATCTTTGTATGTGTGTATCTTTTTGCTTTTGTAGAACTGTTTCCTTAGAAATTCATTTTAGGGTCCTCAACGTTGTGTAAACATTTCTATTATTATATATTTTCTTGAGTTGGAGTCTCTGTCGCCCAGGCTGGAGTGCAGTGGCACACTCACAGCCACTGCGGCCTCAACCTGCTGGGCTCACGCAGTCCTTTTGCCTCAACCTTCCAAGTAGCTGGAACTACAGGCGCGACCACCATACCTGGCTAATTTTTTTTACTTACTGTAGAGATGAGGTCTCACTATGTTGCTCAGGCTGGTCTCGAATCCCTGGGCTCAGGCAATCCTCTTGCCTTCACCTCCCAAAGTGCTGGATTTATGGGTATGAGCCACCATGCCCGACAAACATTTCTATTATTTTTTATACTTAATTCTTCCCCAAAAGGTGGTGTCATTCTTCTGTGCTGTGAAGAATGATGATGATGATGATCTCTGTTGTCCAGGTTGATTGTATAGTGGTACAATCACAGCTCACCCTAGCCTTGACCTGCTGGGCTCAGGCAATCCTTCTGCCTCAGCCTCCCAAGTAACTGGGACTACAGGCATGTGCCACCATGCCCAGCTGATTTTCCTCATAATGCGTCTCGTGTTTTTTGTGAAGACAAGTTCTCGCTATGTTTCCAGCCTGGGCTCAAGCAATCCTCCCACGTCAACCCCCAAAAGTGTTGGGATTACAGGCGTGAGCCACAGTACCTGACCCTTATTTTTAGATTACCATCTAAATAATGCTGGGAAGAGTGAGTATGGAAGAGAAAAGATCTATCAGTGATGACTTGGAAACGTGGTGGGTACTTTTTTTTCTTTCTTCTCAGCACAACCAGCTCCACAGCCAGCAGCTGTGACACCGAGTTCACTAAAGAAGATGAACAGAGGCTGAAAGATTATATCCAGCAGCTCAAGAACGACAGGGCTGCAGTCAAGCTGACCATGTTAGAGCTGGAGAGCATCCACATTGACCCTCTCAGCTACGACGTCAAGCCCCGGGGAGACAGCCAGAGGCTGGATCTGGAAAATGCCGTGCTGATGCAGGAGCTCATGGCCATGAAGGTACGCTGTGGGTGGGCCATTCCTCAGCCGCCCTCAGAAGGAAATCTAATGGCCTCTGAGAGCAGGTCCGGCTGAGAAGGAGGAATCAACCCCTCTGTGCTCAGTTGCCTCTGCCCTGGAGAAGAGCCAGAGCCTCGTTTGTAGACAGGGTTGGTCTCAGTGTCTCTGGGGGATCATTTGAACTGGGCATGCCTAGAGGAGTGAGTTGGATTTGAAAGGATTTCTCAGGGGGTCCCAGCCCAACTTTGGAACACCTCATTCTCCAAGAGAAGCCAGGTTAGACCTCTGCAGGGCGGAGCCTCTGTCCATCTCTGCTGACCCCTCATCTCAAGGATGCTTAAAAGTACTTCCTGGGTTGCTGATACTGATGTTAACTTAAGGCAAAGGGAAAATAGGACAAGGCCAGTATGTGTGGGTGCCCTTTATAATAAGCTGAAGCATAAGTATACTGCTTTCTTGGTTCTGCAGGATGTTCTAGTGAATTCCTGATCCTGAGGAGATTGTGTGTTCCCTCAAATTTGTAAGCAGTCAGTCAGAAGCCCAGATGGCCTGAGTCCCTCCCTCTGGAAACTTGTGACTGGCGTCTGAAGTGAGGGCAGGCTGTGGAGGACTTTGCCTTCAACCTGTGGGGTCTGCACTAACCCCATGTAGTTAGTGTCAGAATTGTACTGCAGTGCACCCAGTTGGAGTGCAAACAGCGTAATAGTCTACTGAGAGTGAGGCCCTGTGGCACTGCAGCCCCACAGCAGAGGTGGAAACCTGCTTGGGTGTGTTCCTGCAGGTCCTGAGTCTGCGCAGGACTCTCCTGCAGTCCCTGTTGGTGTGGGAGAGCTGAGGGCTAGGACCCATGTTGTGAAACCTGCTTTCCAGATTCCATTCTCCTGTGAGCAAAGGCCTGATTTGCACAGCCTTGGAGTCTGCCTTGTCCCTGTCTCCCAGGAGTAGAGATGTGAGGGGCTGCTCTCAGCGACAGAAGCTAGGTCATAGTCAGGAAACAGAGACAATTCTAGCAGGCCAGAGTAGGCCATGGGAGTGCTGAGTTAATAGCTCATAACCATACTGTCCTCAGAAGAAAAAAAAATTCCTCTGGAGGATCACTTGAAGCTAGGAGTTCAGGACCAACTGGGGCCACGTAGCAAGGCCTCATCTCTAAAAAAAGACACATTATAAAAATTAGCTGGTTGTAGTGGCATGCACCTGTAGTCCTAGCTGCTCGGGAGGCTGAGGCTGGAGGATCACTTGAGCCCAGGAGTTGGAGGCTGCAGTGAGCTATGATCATGCCACCGTACTCCAACCTGAGCAGAGGACAAGACCCCATATGCTAAAGAAAAGAAACCCCTCTGGTTGCGCCATCTCTGGAGAGTGTGGAGGAGCTCTTAACAGCAGTCATCCCGACACACTCGGGGTGACGTGCTCAGCACATCCCTGTCCTTGGTGACTGTTCGAGCTGGAGTCTAGGGGAATACTGGGAAGTGGTAACAGATACAAGATGCTCACCTCCTCCTTTCATCCTAGTTGTTTATAAATGCGCTCATCATTATCCACCCACTCAGTTCTGCTCCTGCCTCCTTCCTGGAGGATCTCATGCCACTTTGGCTGATTTCTTCTCTCATGGCTGACGAGCCCACCTTGGGTTCATACCACAGTGAATCTTCCCGAGGAGGAGCCCTCCATGTAGACCCTTGCACCCTGTGGCATGAGCCTGAGGCTGCCCTTCCATTCTTTATTATAAACATCATGTTTTATTTGGCCAAAGACTAAGGATTTCTCTTTTATATTCTGGCCAGTATGTAATGTGATAAACTCAGTGGTATTCTGGCCAGGAAAGATATCTCTGTTGGAATAAAAGTGCTGACAGCCCCTTTGCCACTTGAAATTAAAATGTGTACTCGTCTTTAGAAATTGTCTGTAAGAGTAGAATCTGGCCAGGCACAGTGGCTCAAGCCTATAATCCCAGCACTTTGGGAGACTGAGGCAAGAGGATTGCCTGAGCCCAGGGGTTCAAGACCAGCCTGGGCAACTTGGTGAGACCTTGTCTCTACAATAAAAAAAAATAAAAAATAAAAAGCCAGGTGTGGTAGCGTGCACCGTAGTTCCGGCTACTTGGAAGGCTGAGGCAGAAGGATCACCTGAGCCCAGTAGGTCTACACTGGGGTAGCCGTGAGTGTGCCACTGTGCTCCAGCCTGGGCGACAGTGAGACTCCAACTCAAAAATAAAAAAAAAATTTTAAAAGGGTAAAACCTATTAAAATCCAGGAGGAAAATAATTCAGAATATCATGATCAGGGGCAACTGCTGCCAGCGTTCTGACTCGGTTCCCCTCCTGTGACTTTATTGAAGGCAAACCATCCTAGTCCTCTCCTTTTCTGCACCAACTTCCCAGCGTGCTTGGGATGTGTGCTCGCCCATGCCAAATCCAGTATCCAGATGACGATGGATTTCACCATTTTGATCCAGGATGCAACTGCTGAGAAATTCACATATCTATTTCTTTCACTTCTTGTACATGATCTTTAGTGAATACCTTTTCATTTCTAGATGACCTACTTGGTTCCTTTTCAAATCTATTTTATTTTTTCAAATGTTCTATCCTTTCACTAAGATGCCTATTCTTTTATCTTTTTATTTTAAATCTTTATTTTCTAATTTTTCATATCATTGTTTCTGCTTCTTGTAAATGTGAATTCTCATCTTTGTTGCATCTGCTGATTCTGTGTTGGTGCTGGTCATGTTCATCCTTGGTAGGGGGGGCAAACGGAGGGGATGTGGGTACCAGCTCATCTTCTGTGGAGATGGTTTTCCATGGGGTCCTATAGACCCTTGATTGCAGATAACCCTACAGAGTGGTTCTGTGTTTTTATCTGCTTGAAACCATGGGTTTCTGAGATCTGGAGGGGGAGGGTTGGTTTTTTTTAAAAAAAGAAAGAAAAGTTTACTTAAAAGTAAATTAGAGAGAGAAAGAGAAGGAAGAGAGAAGATTCACCTCCCCAAGGTGGGGGAGGAGGCCAAAGCCAGGAAGCATGGCGATAGCCGTAGCTCAAAGAGCACATGGCCACACCAAAGTCTAGCAAGGCAATGGCCACCGGTTGCTTGTGGTTGAGTCCTTTTAACCATTCCCCTAGATGGGGGAAGATCATTAAGGTGATTGGGTGGTGGTCTGCTCCATGTCATGAAGGAGCAGGTAAGCGCAGGTACTGACATCAGGTGATGGACAGCAGGCAGATGGGTGGGTTAGTCACATGATTGCTGCCATGGTGGGAGTTTTTGAGTCACATGGGTCACAAAGGGCTGATTAGGTTAAGGTGGGGGCATGGTTCTTGCAAAAGACTTGTTAGACATTTACAATTCACAAACTCAGACATTTGCAACTCACAAATTCCTTGACCAAAGGTGGGCATATATTTTTTTTTTAGATTAGAAATTATTGTTTATTTAGAAAGTCAATTTGAGAGAGAGAAAGAGGAGATTCATCTCCCCAAGGTAGGGGAGGAGGTCAAAGCTTAAGAAAACATGGCCTGGCCACAGCATAACTCTGCAAGGCAGTGGATGGGTTTCTGAGTTTTATGAATGGCTTTTGTTACATTCTTGGCTTAGGATTCCTGTACCACACCTACACATGACTCAAGTTTGAGGCTTGGTTCCTCAAAAGAGTTTTTTCTTTCTTTTTCCACCCAGAGTCTGAGAGATGACATCTCCAGAAAGGAAGTTTTCTACTCTTTTATTCCAGGCAGCCATTTGAGCATCCCAGCTCACATAGGAGTCTGAGGGGTGGCACTCTGGTCACAGAGGCCAGGGCTCTGCCTTGTGTGGACACTAAGCTTCTAGGTCACAAGGCCTGCAGACTAGCTCAATGCCCTGCTGGCCAGCGCTCATCTGCCTCGCCATTCCCCCTGGCCAAGTTCCCTCTTCATTTCTGCCACCCATGCATTTATGTTTCCTTCTTTCAAGCATGTACTTTTATGTTTGTCCTGGAAGTGGCCATCTACATTAGCTCAGTTTGCAGTGCTGCCAGAACCTTCTAATGGCAAAAGATGAGAAGGCTTCTGGGTATGAAAACATCTTTCATTCTGGTTTGTATGTCTGGTTTATAGGGGAAAAAAGATTTGGCATGTTCTTCTGAGTAGTCACTGAGCACACTGAGCAACGTCCACTAGGCCTGAGTGTGACAAGCTATGGTGGGTGCCTTCTCGCTATTTCCTCATGTTGAAGAGGGAAAACACCTAACGCTTGAGTCTGACTTACCCTAGAGAGCATACCAGGCCTGTGACTTTATTACTTCAGAGAGGGATCACCTCAGGGGTAGCCAGAACCAGTGACCTTTGTGAGGAGACCTTTGAAGTGAGTAGTCATAGGGATCGCTGAGGAGGCAGGACCTGGTGGTCATGAGGTGGTGGACTCACCCTGCAGCAGAGAAAAGGGGACAACAGTCACGTGTGGGCCCATCTTGAAAGGGAAGGGGGCAGTATGGCTCAGGGGCATTAGCCCAGCCGTCTGGGTTTGATATCTGACTCCACAGCTTAACCAGTAGCCATGGGTTGGGAGATTTCCCTCTGTATGCCTCAGTTTCCCCACTGTAAATAGATATAATTACAATACCGACCTCAGGTTGGGAGGGTCAAATGAGTTACTTCATGTGCACACCAGAACAGTGTTACGTGCTCAGTAAAGGCTATTGGTTGCCATTGTCATCTGGCTCCTGCTCCCAGAATAGCACTGTCCCATGTTGTATTCACTTCTTATTCTCCACAGACAACTCTCATTTGAATTAAAATACCTTTGGAAGTTATCTGATAAGGGGTCTCCTGTGAAGGACTCTGTCTCTATTGATTTCATTGGGGCCTCAGAAACAGAGCTAAAGGTTTCTGAGTGTGACAGCACCACAGTACTGTGGGCGTGCCCCAACTGCCTGGTCCAGCCGCAGGGTGACAAAGGCGGCTGATACATGGCTTGGTGCCATGGAAACTGATGTGGGAATTGGAAAGGACCTAGTCAGACCATCCTTCTGTGCATGGACAACTCCCTTAGAGCCTCTGGCTGTGCCACTCAGCCTCTGCAGGCCAGAGAACTGGTTTCCACCAAGGCAGGAGTGCCTATTTGGGGGTTCCAGTTGTTAGAAAGACTTTCCTTCTGTTGAACCAAAATCTGCTTGCCTGTGACTCCTACCCATTTATCTCAGTTAGTCCACAGAGTAACACAGCAAATGGCATTGTCTACACGTCAGTCTCGCAAACGTGTGAGGACAGCTGCTTGTTTCCTCCCCATCATCCCATAGTCAGCTTCTTTTGCTGTTGTTGTTGAGTCCGAGTCTTACTCTGTCGCCCAGGCTGGAGTGCAGTGGCACTCTCACAGCCACCACAGCCTCGACCTGCTGGGTTTAGGTGATCCTTCTGCCTCAGCCTTCCAAGTAGTTGGAACCACAGGTGTGAGACACCACACTCAGCTAATTTTTGATTTGTTGTAGAGACAAGGTCTCACCATGTTGCCCAGGCAGTTCTCAAACCCATGGGCTCAGGCAATCCTCTCGTCTCCACCTCCCAAAATCCTAGGATTACAGGCATGAGCCACCGCACCTGACTCCGTGGCCAGCTTCTAAGTGAAAACTCCACCACGGGTCTGCATGATAGGACCTCATTCTCACTCACCTATTGGCAGCAGTCAGCTCGCTTTCAGATCGTGGGTATCTCAAACGTGCTCTGCTCCTTGCTCCGTAGGAGGAGATGGCCGAACTGAAGGCCCAGCTCTACCTCCTGGAGAAAGAGAAGAAAGCCCTGGAGCTGAAGCTGAGCACACGGGAGGCCCAGGAGCAGGCCTACCTGGTGCACATCGAGCACCTCAAGTCCGAGGTGGAGGAGCAGAAGGAGCAACGGATGCGGTCCCTCAGTTCCACCAGCAGTGGTGGTGGCAAAGACAAACCTGGCAAGGTAGGGCTGGGGTTGGGGGGATATCCTGGGGCTCAGGCCATACTTTCTCCCAGCGACCACCAACCACACCTCACTGCCCTGCTGCCTCAGTTTCTTCTATGTGCATAGGCACTGCAGGTCATTTCTAGATATCCAAGAAGGGAACTTTTTTTTTTTTTAAGTCAGAATCTAGCTCTATGGCCCAGGCTGGAGTGCAGTGGCACAGTCATGGCTCACTGCAGCTTCAACCTCCTGGGCTTAATTGATCCTTCTACCTCAGCCTTCTGAGGAGCTGGAACTATAGGCATGTACCACCACACCCAGTTTTTTATTTTTTTTGGTAGAGATGAGGTTTCACTATGTTGCCCAAGCTGGTCTTAAACTCCTGTGCTCAAATGATCCTCCTACCTCCGCTTCCCAAAGTACTGGGATTACAGACCTAAGCCACCACACCAGGCAGAAGGTGACATTTTGAATGTAAAGAAACCCAGTCTGCATTTGAAAAAAGCCAAATCTCATTTTACATAATACTTAAAACATGTTCCCATCTCATAGTCTTATCAGAGCAGTGAGCTGTGCAGTTGCCAGTGATCTGATAATAGTCTCACCTTCTCCTCATCCCCTGTCTTACAGTGGCCCCCATTTGCTGATTTGTTGGTATAGTAGCCCCCTTATCTTCAGGGGATACGTTCCAAGACCCCAGGTGTTTACAAGAGACCTTGGGAAAGTTCCCAGTCCTTATATAGTCTGTGTTTTTTCCTACACATACACACATCTGATAAAGTTATAAATTAGGCACAGTAAGAAATTAACAAGTAGGACCAATGTGGTGGCTCATGCATATAATCCCAGCACTTAGGGAAGCTGAGGCAGGAAAATTGATCATGTCCTTGCACTTCAACCTGGACAACAGAGTAAGACCCCGACTTAAAAAAAAAAAAAAAAAAAGGAAGCGAAGAGTCTTAAAGCCAATAAATGGCAGAATTGGGATTTGACTAACAGGCTCTCCTCCTCCCGTCTGCATTGCCTCCTGACTTCTGTTGGTGTCTCTGCCGTAGTGAGGTGGTGGCAGGAAAAGGCCTAAAGGCAGAGGAAGAGGAAGGTGAGCCTTGGATTAGGAAGCATGGATCATCCAAGAGTGACCTCTTCGGTGGCATAATGTTGCAAACTCACGCTTCTACCAGCTCCCAGGTTTTTTCTTTCTTCAATCCAAGCTTGCTCCATCATCCTGTCCCTCTGAATTATTCCAAGTATGGCATTGGAAGAAATAAAAGCTCTGCACCCTAAAGTATTCTGTCCCTTGGCCAGGGATACTCTGTGTTCTGCGCATTCTAGTTTTCTAGTCCTCAAAAATGCAAGCTTCTCTTGACCCCAGCTTGTTTCAGACCCAGGACCTGTGGGCATATACTTCCTTGCAAGTCCATTAAGTGGCTTCTCATAGCACAGGACCAGGGGGGTCTCTAGGAGACTTGGGTCCCTGGGAAGGAAGGAACAATGCTGATGCCATGTGGCAGTGAATCGTCACTCCCCAAATAGCTAAGAAGTCTGAAGCATGCTTCACAAGTGGCCGCAGTGACACTTTTCCCACCTCCCCCTGCTGAGGGTCTGAGGCAGCATACAGCCAAGGCACCCAGCCGGGTAGCCCTCCTGAGACCCGAGGTGCTTTTTATTCGTTCTTTCCGTGGATAAATGTGATTCAGCACTCACAGCATGCCAGGACCGAGGTGAGATACTGAAGGCAGCTCCATGGTGGACAGGCAAGGTCTGTCCTCCAGGAATTTACATTCTGGTGGGTATGACGGGGACACCTGATGAGCAAACAGATGAGAGCATGTAACGAGCGTGAGGATCAATTCCTAGTGCCACGGGAGTCTACGAGCCAGGCACAGAACTCAGGTTTGGAGGTTGAGGCTGGGTTTTCTGGAAGAAATAAACTTCTGAACTGAGACCCAGTGGAGATGGGGTTGAAGAGGGGCAGGGCAGAGGGCCAGGGGAGAGGAGGAGGCCCCCTCCAGGCCAGTAGAGCAGCCTGTGCAAAGGCCCGGAGGGAAGTGAGGTTGTGGCTTTGGCGGGAGTTACCTTGAGGACTGCGAGGAATCATGGGAGGGTCTGATGGGATGCTCTTCGGGCTTTAGAAAAGTCACTATGACAGGTGCACTGTGACCCATCTGCCCCAAGACTTGGTGCCAGGGAGGGGTGGTGCTGCTTCACAGGGCAGTATCCGGGGCTCGGGAAGATGATGCTTTCTGTTCCATACAAACTCCTTCAAAATCTCCTTGTTTGCCTTTTGAGTTTGTCAGTCTTCGCTGTGGGCCAGAGCCTGAGACAGAGCACTAGTGTTTGTGTGTGTGTGTTCTTAGGGTGTGGTGGGAATGGACTTACCAGCGTTTTGCCAGAGGCCCATGACCTGAACACTTTCTCCCAGTTCTTGGTGTTTATTTTGACTTAAGTATGGAAAGTTCTCTGGAAAAAGCCAGATGATTTTTTTAGCATTACAGTAAGAGGCTTTGATGAGAGCACCTTATGTTGTTCAGGTAATGAAATTAGAGTAAGCTGATTATCTTGTCAAATATTAGATCCGTGGACTACTTGAATAAGGTCTCCCATCTGGCCTGTTCATTGGGTCTTACCTGTTGGTAGATGAAGCAAATGGGTCTAACAAGAACATGTTTCCTGTTGGCAGGAGGGTGCTGATGCTGCCTCCCCGGCTCTGTCCCTCGCTGAGCTCAGGACAACGTACAGCGAGAGTGAGCTGGCTGCAGAGTTCGCCAACGCCATCCGTCGGTAAGCACCCTTCCCTGCCCCAGCTGAGGTGCAGCGCAGGCGTGGAAGCTTTATTCTCCATGGAGACTTTGTTCTCCATTCTCTTAGCTGCTCACATCAGCTCTGCATGGTCATTCCAGGCCTTCAGAGGAGAAGATGTCTGTGTGTTTCACTTTGGCCCTGGCCTCGGAGGCCAGAAATGGAGAAGCCCTGTTGGTGTCAGACCTTTCGAAGGAGAATGAGGGGGGAGCACGTAGGCAATAATTTCATCTGCAAATAAGAAAATGCCTCTTCCTCTTCTTTTCTTATTATTTTATTGCACATTCAATAGTGACGGTGAATATAGGTGCCCTTACCTTTTTCCAACTCTAGTGGGGATGCCTCCTTCAGCCTTAGCAGAATGAGAAGGCCTCATTTGTTTAGTTAGTTCTGGAAAATTTCCTCTATTATTTCAATGTTTCCTCTCTGCCGCCTCCCCCACCCCCATTCTTTCTCTCCTTCTACAAGGAGAAGCAGATGCTGATTCATTTAGATCTGTCTTCCGTATCTTTTCACACTTTCGATTGCTCCTTGTGCTCTGGAGCTCTAGGGCAGCACTGTCCAATAGAAATGGAGCAGGAACCACATATGATTTTAAGCTTCCTAGTACTCACATGAGAAAGCAAAAAGAAACAAGTGAAATCCATCCAAATAACATTTTATTTAACCCAGTGTATCTAAATTATCATTTCCACATAAAATGCATATTTTTTTAAATACTCACACACACACATATTTTTAACTAAGTTTTCAAAACCTGGTATGTATTTTATACCTACACACATTTCAAATTTGGACCAGCCAATGTTTCAAGTGCTCAATCGCTGCTCGTGGCTCATGGCTGCCCTGTTAGACAGTTGCAGTTCTAGAGAGATTATTTGACTCAGTTTGCCAGCTCACTATTCTTTAGTTATATCCATTGTGGTGTTTGGCTTATATGTTGAGCTTCTCATTTGGTGATGAAATCTGTCATCTCTTTTTTTAAATGCTATAATATCCTCTTGCATCTCTTTGAGGGTATTTAATATACTTAAATTCTTAAATCTTTTTCGTCTGTTGTATTAACTCTATTTCCTCATGTGTAAATTCTTTTTATGGTTGAGTTTCATGATTCTTTATGTTGACTTTCTTGAACTATTTGGTGGTTCTTGTTTGTGTGTTCATTCTTGTATTTCAAGTTCCTAGGTAACCTGTTTGTGAATACTATTGTCTGCTTTTTTCAGCCTGCCACAACCCAGAAAATGTAGCCAGGTCTTATGAGGTGCTGTTGACTGGATTGTTTCAGAAGCTTGTCTCCTGGGCTTGCTTTCCTCCTGGCTAATACCAGCTATCTTGTCTATGCATCTGACCCAAGCATGGCTCCCTCCTGTTCTGGTCGCCAACACCTCTGGCTGAAGCATCTCTCAATCCCCTTCTTCCATTTGCAGCAGCATTTTCCTGTGTGCATTTTGAGTTGTGGTTTCCTTTTTCAGGAAGAATAAAACATCTGCCTTTCATTTTCTTATTATTGTTTGTGGTTTCTGGTATACAAAGCGCACACTCCGTGCTTTCTAAGATGCTTGGGATTTTGTAAAAACGTCTTTCCCCTTGACATTGGGGGTGTGTAGTCTCCATCAGCCAACTTGTCCCAGAGGGGCCTGTTAATTTACAGAACAGCCTCCAAGATGCGGTGGATGGAAGACTGCCTTGTGTGGAACTTCACTACCTTCCTGATTTACTGTCACTTTTTGTCTCACCTTCCAGATCTTAATAGCTTTGTTTTCACTTTGCCAGTGCCTCTGGCCATGTGGTTGAATGGGAATTGCTCTGCTTGGAGTGGGAAGCTAGAAGCTACACAGAAAAATGCCCTCAACAAATCCTAATGACTCGACTGTGCCAGAAATGCGGAATGGAAATCCACTCCCCAGTTCCAACTGGGAGCCATTTGGATATTGTATCTGTAAGCTAAGCCCCTAAATTTCTCAGATTCCCCAAGCCTCAGAGGCCTTTCCTGGCACCAGTAGGATGCAGGTTGTGCTGAGTAAACACAAAGAGCTTTCATCCGTCCTGCCGCTCATAATGGATTTCCAATGACCAGCCGTAAGTTGGTTAGCATGGATTTCTGATCAAGACACAGAGCTACAGAGCCCAGAAAGAACCCTCAGAGCTCAAGGAAAAAGGAAAATAACATAATTATACTGTAAATATAGTTGGACACTGGAATAATCATTTCATGAAGGTATATAATATAGATACCTGAGGGCTGAGGTTTGGGGGATGTTTTTATTTGTAAAGATCAAATGGAAACTAGCATCTTTTTGAAAAGGCATTGAATCTCTGCTGAGCCTAGTGGCTAAGGTCAGCTGGGAGAATCTTACCAGCCTTTTTAACAGTTTCCTCTCTTGAAAAGGATCGTTCCAGACACCAAAACTGTGGGCCCAGCATCCAGATTGAAAAGAGCAGGTGTCACTAAGGGCACGAGAAGAGCCTAAACTGTGGCCTTTTCTTGGAGAGCACCAGCCATCCCAGGGAAGGTGGCCTAGGACATTTCCATTGCTGGTTCTGGGTCACGGTCCTGGTCCTGTCCCAACCCACTCTCCCCTCACCTGGCTGGGCTTTGGCCTCAGTTGGGCCCTTGTCATCCAACCCTGGTTCTCTCGGTGTGTCTTTTCCTTTCTCCTGTTTGGAACAAAACCAGGGCTCCATGCCACCCCACATATACTGCGTAACTCCCATCTGGCCTGATTTCATTCCCTCCACTTCCTTGAACATTTATTGCAGTTTACTGGCTCCGTTATTGCCATAAAACCCCATCTGGATGACCAGTTTCCAGTCTTACACACAAGATGTTTCCTTCCCAGAGTGTCTTGTTTGGGTCTTATCCTCCCAGGCTGTGACCTGCAAAACCCTCCTCCATCTCAGATCCATCCCCTCCCATTGGTCCTAGCAAAATTCAACTGAATCATCATTCTACCAAAGAAGCAAACTATACAAAGGCAGCTAAAGGAGGGGAATGTTCAGAAATGACTTTTCTCTGTCCTTACGTGGCGTCTATGTAGACTGCCCGGGGACCTGAGCACAGCTGAGAGGAGCAGACTAGTTGGTCTCCATCCTGTTCTTGGGAGGCAGCCGGGAGCAGGTGCCGCTCTCCATAGGATCTGGCGGGGACTGGCACAGCAAGGCTGAGTAACTTCCCAAGGTCACACAGTGAGGTGGTAGGGAAGCCGCATATTCCACACTCTCTACAGGATCCCCCTGCACCCCACTTGTGCTGGCAGTGTCTGGTTTACTTACAGGCACGTGAGCTGAGCCCACTCCTGTGGGTGTGTCCAAGAGCTCTACCCACCCTAGTGTGACTGGTCTGGCAAATGGCAGCCTCCGTGCTCCTGGTACACTTCCACACATCCGTCTGCCAGCAATGAGGGCAAATAAGGTGCCATGGGGGAGGCAGCGCCATATGCCAAACCAGGTCTGAGCTGGGCATGGTGGCCATGTGCCTATCATCCCAGCTACCAGGGAAACTGAGGTGAGAGGATGGTTTGAACCCAGTTCAAATCTAGTCTGGGCAACATAGGCCCATCCCTAAACAAAACATAATTTTTTTTTTTTTTTTTTTTTTTGCAAAGTAAGGATCTGTGTCTCCTCAGCATTTGGAGACAGGGAGTAGACAAGAAAGGAATTTGCGCCATGGTGAGGAGCAGCGTGTAGGGCTTCCTCACATGTGGTCCCCATTCTCAGTCAGAAGCAGGACAGCACCCAGCACCCACCTGCCACCTGCAGGAGTCGGTGCCCTGCCCCCTCGGGCTGTGGTCATTCAGTCACAGACCCAGGGGCTCTGCTGAGCCCTTCAGGGACCTGGGATGTGCTGCCTGTGTCTGCATGTGTGCCAGGTGGTTCTGCAAAATGCCACATCAAGGCAATGGACACATCGCAGTGGCCATTCTGTCCAGTGACAGAAGACGCCAGACGTCACCAGAGCAGGTGCGCACAGACTTGCTTTCATTGCTCTAATGAGCAGCAAGTTGGCAGGCCACGGCCCCTTGGAGAGAGGGCTGCATGGCACACCCTTTAGGGAGACATCCCATGGCAGGCGGGCCCCGTTGCATCCACATGGTTGCAGGAGACCAGATCTGGAGAGCCTGGTGTGACCCTGGCTGGGAGTGAAGGTGGCCGTGAAGGAAGGGGCCGACACATGAGGCGGAGTCCCAGGGTTCAGAGAGACAGAGTGGGAATTCCCCCATCATCCCTGGCCCTGGCTCACCACAGAGCAGGTTACTCTGCAGGAAACTCCCTGTGGCAGACCTTGAGGCATCTCTCAGAGGGGAGGCACAAAAGCCAGAAGGATGTGTTGCAAAGCACAAAGGGCGAGCACTTCATCCTGGGGTAGGATAAGAAGGGAGAGGCAAGGAGGGAGGACATGTGGGTTGAGAAGCTTTGCTCCCCAGCAGCAAACTGTCAAGGAACATGTACGTGTGTGTGTGTGTGTGTGTGTGTGTGTGTGTGTAGAGTGTGGTGGCACAGTCACAGCTCACTGCAGCCTCGACTCCAGGGCTCAAGTGATTCCCCTGCCTTAGCCTCCAGAGTAGCTGGGACTACAGCACACATCACCATGCCCAGCTAATTTTTTATTTTTTTGATAAAGACAGAATCTTGCTATGTTGCCCAGGCTAGTACAAACTCCTGGGCTCAAGCAGTCCTCCTGCCTTCGTTTCCCAAAGCACCAGGATTATAGATATAAGCTGCTACGCCCAGTCCAAAAGAACTTTTTTTTTTTTTTTTTTGAGTTGGAGTTCCACTCTGTCGCCCAGACAGGAGTGCAGTGGCCGCTTCCAGCCACCGCAGCCTCGACCTGCTGGGCTCCGGCGATCCTTCCGCCTCAGCCTTCCAAGTAGCCGGAATTACAGGCATGCGCTACCATGCCCAGCTCATTTTTAGATTTACTGCAGAGATGAGGTCTCGCTGCCCAGGCGGGTCTCGAACCCGCAGGCTCAGGCAATCCACTC